CTACCTCGCTGCATGTTTTTAAGGCAAGGCTAGATAAATTTTTGAACAGTAAAGGAATTAAGGGTTATGGTGAGCGGGCGAGCAAGTGGAGCTGAGTCTCAAAAAGATCAGCCATGATCTTATTGAATGGCGGTGCAGGCTAGAGGGGCCAGATGGCCTACTCTTAGTCCTGCTCCTAGTTCTTATGTTCAGCCTTTTGGCCTCTCCAGCCACTTTGACACAGCCACACATTTATAGCAGGAAAACTCAAACAATAGAAACAATGTAGATGAACAATTAAAACGTGAAAGAACTATGGATGCTATGAATCAGCAACAAAAACAAAGTTGCTGGAAAATCTCAGCAGGTCTGGCAGCATCTGTGAAGGAAAAAACAGAGTTAATGTTTCGGGTCCGGTCACTCTTCCTCAGAACTGATGGTGGCTGGGAAAACATCAGTTTATATGCGGAAAGAAGGGGAGGGGGATGGGGTAGGGAGTAAATGATAAGATAGAGACTAAAGAGAGAGAGAAGAGCAGTTGGACAGATAAAAGGTTGATAACGATCAGGCTGGGAGGGTGAATAGTTGTTAATGGGGATGATTAGTGACTAACAACAGGTGGTATGTAATGGCAGGCTATGTGGTAACAAGGCCTGGTGTGTGGGGTAGGGGGCTGGGACTTGGGAGAGTTTAGGCCCTAAAATTATTGAACTCAATATTGAGTCCGGAGGGCTACAGGGTCCCCAAGCGGAAAATGAGGTCTTGTTCTTCCAGCTTGCGTTGTGGTTCGCTGGAACACTACAGCAAGCCAGAGACAGAGATGCTGGCCAGGGAGCAGGGTGATGCATTAAAGTGGCAGACAACAGGTAGTTCAGGATCTTTTCTGTAAGCAGAACGTAGATGTTCTGCAAAGCGGTCACCCAGTCTACGCTTTGTTTCCCCAATGTACAGGAGACCACATTGTGAGCAGCGAATGCAGTAGACTAGATTCTGGGAAGTGCAGGTGAAGTGTTGCTTCACTTGGAAGGTATGTTTGGGCCCTTCGTTACTTGGGGGGAAAGGAGGTAAATGGTAAATGCCCTCACTTTCACCTGGGCTATCTCTGACTCCTCCCTTCCCTTCCTTGACATTTCTGTTTCCATTTCTGGGGACAGACTGGCCGCTAATATCCACTACAAACCCACTGACTCCCACAGCTACCTGGACTATACATCCTCACATCCCACTTCCTGTAAAGACTCCATCTCATTCTCTCAGTTCCTCTGTCTCCGTCGTATATGTTCAGATGAGGCCAACTTCGAAAAGGGAGCCTACAAAATGTCCACCTTCTTCCTCAACCAAGGATTCCTCAACAGGGCCCTCAACCAGGTTCGACCCATCTCCTGCACTTCCGCCCTCACCCCTTCTCTTCCCTCCCTCAATAGTGATAGGGTTCCCCTTGTCCTTACCTACCATTCCACCAGCATCCACATCCAGATCATCAGATGCCATTTCTGCCACCTCCAGCAAGTTGTCTCCACCAGACACATATTCCTCTCCCCTCCCTTGTCCGCCTTCCTCAAGCACCCTGGTCCACACTTCCTTCACCCCCAACACTCCCCCATAGCCCCACGGCACCTTCCCCTGTAACCAGCGAAGGTGCAACACCTGCCCATCTACCTCCTCCCTCCCCTGTATCCAAGGGCCCAAACATTCAAGGGTTCAAGCGAACCAACATTTCACCTGCACTTCCCAGAATCTAGTCTACAGCATTCACTGCTCACAACGTGGTCTCCTCTACATTGGGGAAATGAAGTGTAGACTGGTTGACCTCTTCACAGAACATCTATGTTCTGCCTGCAAAAAAAAAAAGACCCTGAACTACCCGCTGCCTGCCACTTTAACACACCACCCTGTTCCCTGGCCAACATCTGTGTCTCTGGCTTGCTGTAGTGTTCCAGCGAACCTCAACGCCTCATTTTCCGCTTGGGGACCCTGCAACCCTCCGGGCTCAATATCGAGTTCAATAATTTTAGGGCCTAAACTCTCCCATGTCCCAGCCCTCTATCCCACACAGCAGGCCTCGTCACCACATAGCCTGCCATTACACACCACCTGTTGTTAGTCACTAATAGTCCCCACTAACAACTATTCACCCTCCCAGCCTGATCATTATCAACGCTGTCTGTCCAACTGCTCTTCTCTCTCTTTAGGCTCTATCTTATCGTTTACTCCCTCCCCCATTCCCCTCCCTTTTTCTTGCTATAAACTGACATTTTCCCAGCCACCATCAGTTCTGAGGAAGGGTGACCGGACCCGAAATATTAACTCTTTTTTTCCTTCACAGATGCTGCCAGACCTGCTGAGCTTTTCCAGCAACTTTGTTTTTGTACATGAACAATTAATCATCACAATGAAAGATTATTGTTAAGTATTGCAATGTGACTAACAATCACAAATCATTAATAAATCAATACAGCACTAGCTAAAACTGAATCAACAATTCATACTACAGATGCAACAAATTTATTGACGCATATTCTGTAGATGTGAAATAAAATAATGCGCACTCATGAATTAATAAATTCAGAGTATGAGAAAATGCACAAATCAATAAATTAACCAAGCAACAGACAGCAATGAATTAATGAAGTCATGAAACAATGGGCAAATGAACAAAATCAGTAAGTTAATAGAGCAACCTACAACTTCAAATAAATGAGTTAAATAACGAAGCAAAAGAAAAACCAAGAGATTCTTAAGTAAAGGGAACAGTTAGCATCAGTGAATTAATAGAGAACTAGCCACCAGTAGAATTAGTAAATTAATAGATCACTGGGTAAGAGAAACTTCAGTGAACTGTGAAGGAATGAGGCAAAAATGAATAAGTGACTGGACCAGCGGGCACATGTTAACACAGTATTTGGCACCAATCAATTGAAAAGTGAATAGAGCATCAACCAATAGTGACTGCTTGGAAACAACAGACCTCTTGATGTCTTGTATATTTGTTCTCCCACAGTCATGAAGAAAGAAGATCTTTACTTAGAAATGGAGCAGAACTGGCAAGGTAATAATCCACAACTCAGTTTACTGGTGGTAAAATAATAAAATTCGAGACTATCACGGGAACTAGATGATAAGCAGAGATAGCAGCAGGGACCATTAAAAAAAACACAGCGGGAAATGATTTCTCTTGAATATTCTGCAGGGAAGGGCAAAACATCAGGCTTAACTGGGTGATAACATCAGTAGTAAGTGTTGGAAGGCCAGAAACACCTGTGACCAGCAATTGTTTTATATGAATTACAGATGCTCTTATAGAATTTTACATTGACATCAAAACACAACTAAGGGTTTCTGACCACAAGAAAGAAGACCTATAGACAGGAAATGCATGCCATACACAAAACTTCTTTTTAAAAACTTGTTTACGGGATGTGAGTGTCATTAGCTTTTATTTCCTATCCCCAATTACCCTGGAGAAGAGGGTGGTGAGCTGTCCTCTTGAACTACTGATGTCTGTCAAGTAGATACAGCCAACAAAACTGTCAGAAAGGGAGTTACGGGACTTTGAAGCTGTGACAGTAAAGTATGTTCCAAGTCAGTATGGTGCGTGGCTTGGAAGGACCTTACTGGTGGTTATGTTCCCCTGCATCTGCCACAATTGCTCTTCTAACTGGTAAAAGGAGCTTAGGTGTATCTTAAAATTTGAATTGATCTTTGAGGCATTACTTAGTAATGACCTAGTATAATCTTGGAGTAAAATAGGATTACATGACTGAGTAATAATAATGCCCTGGTTCAATTACATCCAATCTTAGAAAGTTACGCAGCTTGTTTTTTTTTTAAAGAAACATATTTTCATGATCAATTCCTTTGCCCACATTTATAACAAAAGCTATGTAAACTTGACACTTCAATTAAAATTCCCTGACATTAGCATTGGCTCTATTGGAATCTGAACCAGAAAAGATACATAGATATGCAACATTTTTAGTAGAGACTGATTATATATTCTAAATGCTAGTTCACTAAAATTAAAACACACAAAATGTATGGCAACTGTTAAATCAAAAAACATATTTCCAAATAATGCAGGTTGCTATGAACTGTTTGCAATATATTATGCACAGATCGGAAATACAGCTGATATTTTGCCCAAGATTCTACTTTGAAATGAGTGCAGGTACAACTTTTAAAAAGTTTTTCTTTAAAATAAAACAATAATTTTACATTATTCTAATGCAGAAATGATAGGCTGCTCTAATTTTCAAACGAATGGGAACAGAAGTCACTACAGTAATTTTGTTTATATACGAGATATTTATTTGGGTTACAAAGCTGCTCTCTTCCCTAAGACGGTTTCAAATATTTTGTTCACAAATATACACATAGTCGCTTACGCACGACAGCCGTAATAAAAATAACTCCCTATTTTCCTTCCTAAAAAGTACCTAAAATTATTTAATAGAGACTTTATTCAAAGGCAACCATTAAACTTACAGTCCGCAGTATACGACAGCAGTTTCTCAAGTGGTCACAATACATTCTGATCGGTAATTCAACATCTTACCAAATACTCCCTAAAATAGCCAAGCATTATTCAGTAAATCCAAGAGATCACGCAGGAAACGCTGCAAGCTTCTGCCATCTTGCAGAACAGCCGGGTGTTGGAAAACATCACATCCTAGAAATACACTGCCTTCCCCTGCATCCTTCTAGGCCACCTTTCCATATGGAACATCAACGGCCGCTTAGTTTGCATCAAACATACAGACACAAAGCAGCAAGAGATTACAACGCTACAGAACCTGTAACCTGGAGTCGAAATTAAATCAATTCTGTACAAGGGGAAAGGCACCTTGTTTAGCTTATGCTTTCCGCAAATGCGCTGGTGACGAACACGACAATAACAAAACGTCAGTCTCTATTTGTTTCGTTTTCCCTGCAGCGTGCTTGAAGTAATGTATCGAATATTCCACCACCTCCCCCCCAGCAACAATATTTCATTTGGTCGGGAGGGATGGTTTCCCACCTACCAGATGTTGCTGCTACCTGTATGGAGTGGGCTGGAGGGACAGGAAGCAGCGGCTGCTGCACGCTCCAGGCGCTGAACGCGCCGCCTCAGGTGTGTCTCTGACGCACGCGCGCGTCGACAATGCCTGAAGAACACGTAGCATTCTAGCAGCTTGTCACTCAGCTGGTTCCGTTCCACAGCAGCCTGCTACCGCCTCACATCCTCTTCATGGGCTGTGCCACTGCCACTGGGGCCTAGCAGTTAGCAAATACATTCATCAAACCATCTCGTAAGTTATATAGCACCCCCCACTGCACTTGCAAACTACCCCGCACACGAGGAAGGACCCGTGTAGGGAGGGAAAGCATCATAATGAAGAGGTAGCAGGAACTGTCGATCCTGGAGTCTGAGCTAACAAGGTGTGGAGCTGGATGAACATTTTTCTGAAGAAGGGTCCAGATCCGAAACGTCAGCTTTCCTGCTCCTCTGATGCTGCCTGGCCTGCTGTGTTCATCCAGCTCCACACCTTGTTACCTTATAATGAAGAGGCGCATTCAAGTAAAAAAGGAGTGACTAGAATGTAAATCAAAGGCACAGTCAAATTGAAGGCTCTCAAGAAAGTTTTTGGAGAGCAACTAGATAGGCGGCAAAGTGGAGAAGATCGACTACAGAGATCTCAAGGACCAGAGTTGACTTTTCTAGGATTTGTTACTCAGATTCCATTTATTGTGGACATGATCTGGAGGTGTCGGTGTTGGACTGAGGAGGACAAAGCCAGAAGCCACGTGACACCAGTTTACAGTCCAACAGGTTTATTAGAAATCACAAGCTTTCCGAGTGCTGCTCCTTTGTCAGGCGAGGTGAAGAAAAGCACACAGACACAGATTTTATATGCAGAGAGATCAAAACATCATACAAATGGTGTGAGTGGAGTGTCCACAGGCTGAATAATAAGTCTCTGCATATGATCAAAACTGTTAGAAGGTGTGAGTAAAGTGTCAACAGCTATAGAGCAAGTGAAGGGATGACCTGTGATCTGATTAATTGAGGCAGAGAGATAATTACAAAAAATTAAAAATAAGGTGGTGCTGGAGACAAACTAAATTACTGCAATAACATGATAGGTATAAGAGTCGCATGCCGAGAATCTAACCAAAGTAACAAGTAATCCAAAACTGTACAAGCTATTAAGGTAGAGAGATCATAACAAGTTATCAAGGTGATAGTGTCAAAACAGGATAGTAAGGGCGATTTTACAGATACGGAACAGTATGATGGGTTACATGTTGTGCAACATGAACCCAAGATCGCAGTTGAGACCGTCTTCATGGATATGGAACTTTGCTATCAGTTTCTGCTCAGCGATTCTGTGTTGTTGTGTATCTTAAAGACTGCCTTGAAGGACACTTACCCGAAGATCAGAGGCCGAATGTCCTTGACCACTGACGTGTTCCCTGACTGGGAGGGAATATTCCTGTCTGGCGATTGTTGCATGGTGTCCATTCATCTATTGTCGTAGCGTCTGCATAGTCTCGCCAATATTCCATGCCTCGGGGCATCCTTGCCTGCAGCGTATGAGGTAGACAACATTGGCCGAGTCACATGAGTATCCGCCATGTACGTGACAGGTGTTGTTCCCACGTGTGATGGTAGTTTTCATGTCGATGATCTGATATGTCTTGCAGAGGTTACCAAGACAGGGTTGTATGGTGTTGTGGTTGATGTTGTCCTGAAGGCTGGGTAGTTTACTGCGATCAATGGTCTGCCTAAGTGGCAGTTGTTTGAAGACGAGAAGTGGAAGACGTAGGGATGATCTTGGTGAGACGCTCACCGTCACGATGACATTTTGAAAGCTGCAAAGAACATGGCATAGTTTCCCTACTCCGGGGAAGTACTGGATGACAAAGGGTACTCTATCGGTTGTGTCCTGTGTCTGTCATCTGAGGAGGTTGTTGTGGTTTTTCGTATCCCATTCTTATGAGGACGTCTTTTAGCATCTTTAGGCGTCCATCGCATTCCTCCTCATCTGAGCAGATCCTGTGTATATGAAGGGCTTGTCTGAAGGGGATGGCTTTTTTAAACACGTTTTGGGTGGAAGCTGGAGAAGTGCAGCATCATGAGGTTATCCATGGGCTTGTGGTAGAGTGATGTACTGAGGTGTCTGTCCTTGATGGAGATACATGTGTCAAAGCATGAGACTGATTCTGAAGAATAAGTCTAATGGTGGGATGAAACTTGTGATATCACTATGTAGTCATTTCAGTGATTCCTTACCAAGAGTCTTAAGGAAGAAAATGTGGCAGGTCTTGTTCCCACATTTGATGGTAGTTTCCATGTTGATGATCTGACATGTCTTGCAGAGGTTACCATGACAGGGTTGTACGGTGTTGTGGTTGATGTTGTCCTGAAGGCTGGGTAGTTTGCTGCGATCGATGGTCTGCCTAAGTGGCAGTTGTTTGAAGACGAGAAGTGGAAGACGTAGGGATGATCTTGGTGAGACGCTCACCGTCATCGATGACATTTTGAAAGCTGCGAAGAACATGGCATAGTTTCCCTACTCCGGGGAAGTACTGGATGATGAAGGGTACTCTATCGGTTGTGTCCTGTGTCTGTCATCTGAGGAGGTTGTTGTGGTTTTTCACTGTGGCACGTCAGAATTGGTGATCGATGAGTTGAGCATCGTATCCCATTCTTATGAGGATGTCTTTCAGCATCTTTAGGCGTCCATCGCCTTCCTCCTCATCTGAGCGGATCCTGTATATATGAAGGGCTTGTCTGAAGAGGATGGCTTTTTTAAACATGTTTAGGGTGGAAGCTAGAGAAGTGCAGCATCATGAGGTTATCCATGGGCTTGTGGTAGAGTGATGTACTGAGGTGTCCGTCCTTGATGGAGATACATGTATCCAAGCATGAGACTGATTCTGAAGAATAAGTCTGATGGTGGGATGAAACTTGTGATATCGTTATGTAGTCATTTCAGTGATTCCTCGCCAAGAGTCTTAAGGAAGAAAATGTTGCCAATGTATCTGGTGTATAGCGTTGGTTGGAGGTCCTGTGCAGCAAATAAGTCTTGCTCGAACTTGTTCATGAAAATGTTGGCATATTGGGGTGCAAATTTGGTCTCCCTGCCTGTTCTGTGTGTCTGGATGAAGAGTTGGTTGTTGAAGATGAAGATGTTGTGGTCAAGAATGAAGCAGATGAGTTGTAGGATGGTGTCTGGAAATTGGCAGTGGTTAGTGTTGAGTGCTGAGGCTGTTGCAGTGAAGCCTTGACATGGGAGATGCTAGTATAGAGTGCCAAAACCTCCATTGTGATGAAGAATGTTCCTGGTTTGACTGGTCTGTGGGTGCTGAGTTTCTGTAAGAAGTGTGTAGTGTCACGAGTGAGGCCGCAACTGAGAACTTCAATTTCGTCTGGTTGAAGTGTGTGGTCAGACAAGTTGATGATGAATTTCTCTGTAGCGCGACTGGTTTTAACTGTGGTACTGGGGGTTGCTTGGTTACTGCTGGTCGTGATGCCAAGTTTCTTATTCTTGGTGTGCATGTAGGTGACGTAGTTCCATTGCCTCGTCTGCTTGGCAGTGTCTTGTGGCTGATCGTCCACGGTATCCTGAGTGCAATCTGAGAATATAGACTCTATCTCGATTGTAGAGTTTGTGTGCGAGATGATTGAGGATTGTGCGAGAGGTGCGATGGCAGACTCTCTCAGTGTAGCCTGTGCTGCAGGTTGACTTGAGTTGGATTCATGATCACAGGATCTCCTCTACTTTCTTGTATCTCCGCAAAAACTGATGTCTGTGTAAATATGCGCAATCTTCTTGGAGATCCTCTTCACTTTAAACCAGCAGATTGTGGTGTCACTGGTAGATGTGATGTGGAGCTGCCAGTGTTGGACTGGGGTAGACAAGGTCAGAACACCAGGTTATAATCCAACTAGTTTATTTGAAATCACAAGCTTTCGCAACACTGTTCCTTTGTCAGGTGAAGTGAAGAGAAGCACACCAGGCACAGAATTTAAAGACAGACAGCTCAAAAGTTTGTACAAATGGTGTGATGGAGTGTTCACAGGCTGAATATTGAAGAAGAGAACAGTACTCTGTTTCAATTTCCCTGCAAATGCTTTACAATATTTTAATTTACTTGATTACACCGAGCAGGAATATGTGACAAGAGATGTTTTTAATGGCTGCCACAGACTACACACAAGGAAGAACAATGAACAGCACAGGAAAAGCCTTTAAACAAAAACAAAGTTGCTGGAAAAACTCAGCAGGTCTGGCAGCATCTATGAAGGAAAAACAGAGTCAACGTTTTGGTCCAGTGACCCTTACTCAGAACTGATGGTGGCTGGGAAAACATCAGTTTATATGCGGAAAGAAGGGGAGGGGGGATGGGGTAGGGAGTAAACGATAGGATAGAGCCTAAAGAGAGAGAAGAGCAGTTGGAAAGACAAAGAGTTGATAACGATCAGGCTGGGAGGGTGAATAGTTGTTAATGGGGACTGTTAGTGATTAACAACAGGTGGTGTGTAATGGCAGGCTATGTGGTAATAAGGCCTGGTGTGTAGGGTAGGGGGCTGGGACTTGGGAGAGTTTAGGTCCTAAAATTATTGAACTTGATATTGCGTCTGGAGGGCTGCAGGGTCGCCAAGCGGAAAGTGAGGTGTTGTTCCTCCAGCTTGCGTTGAGCTTTGCTAGAACACTGCAGCAAGTCAGAGACAGAGATATTGGCTAGGGAACAGGGTAGTGCATTAAAGTGGCAGGCAACAGGTAGTTCAGGGTCATTTTTGCGAGCAGAACGTAGATGTTCTGTGATGCGGTCACCTAGTCTACGCTTCGTTTCCCCAGTGTAGAGGAGACCACATTGTGAGCAGCGAACGCAGTAGACTAGATTCTGGGAAGTGCAGGTGAAATGTTGCTTCACTTGGAAGGTATGTTTGGGCCCTTGGATACTGAGGAGGGAGGAGGTAAATGGGCAGGTGTTGCACCTTTGCCGGTTACTGGGGAAAGTGCTGGAGGGCTGTGGGGAGTTGTTGGGGGTGATGGAAGCGTGGACCAGGTTGTCCCGGAGGGAACGGTCCCTCTGGAAGGCAGACAAGGGAGGGGAGGGGAGGAGAATATGTGTCTGGTGGTGGCATCTTGCTGGAGGTGGCGGAAATGGCGTCTGATGATCTTCTGGATGTGGAAGCTGGTGGAATGGTAGGTAAGGACAAGGGGAACCCATTGCTTTTGTGAGAGGGAAGAGAAGGGATGA